AGGCCCTTTATTTGGGACTTTAAAATAGTTAACAAAACTAGAGAAACAAAGAAAGCAAAATCTGATTGACAAAAGGCCATACGAGGAAAGATCCACGACAGCATACGTGACTATTTGAACGATAATCTACACGAGATCGATATCACCACTGATCGACGGAACGTAACTCAGGTGAGAGAATCATGAGAAGATGTACCGTAAAGGATATTTGTATTGAACTCGTGATAAATAGTCTAACCGTCCTACCGCAAGGACAAGGGAAATAACGCAGCGATATACGGTTAATGATACAGACCATGAGTTGAGCAGTGGATCGGAACGCGTATTCAACAATAGTAAAGAACAAACTGAATATTAATACACACAGTTTCATACGAAAGAGATAAATAATGGTAAGGATTAGCGTATATAGATTATGAAGAGGAATTTTACAAAACTCTCAAGCAGATAAATCAGTGTTAATAGACTAGTATACAAAAGAAAAGTTAATGTGAGTGGAAATGTATGATCAAGACGGGACGTTGTACGTCAATACGTTAATAGAAAATACAAGTACTTTAACTAATACGTGAACTCACAAGAAGCGTAGCTTACGGTTTCTGATACAGTCCTCAAGGTCACCGAGGGTAACACACTAATCGTGTACAATAATTAACAGATAGCGACAACGATAAGAATTCATTGAAGGCACGGAATTGTTTCCTTCTGGCGATACGCGATCTTTTCCTGGGTCGAAACCGGAAGGAATATATGAAACTACAGAGCGTAAGCTCTAACCTTAAAGGCGCAATAGATTTCGTCCTCACAAAGACTGGACGCTTTCCGTGAATTAAGATACAAATTTGACACTTTGAACGACGTAACGCATTCGGTCAAGACAGCTAACACAGTCAGAATGTCCGCACGAGGAAGGCTCGTCTCGGTCCACGGGGCTAGCGCTAGCCTCGACACCAGTGTCAGACTCTCCTGGGCCAATAATATTAGCGGAAGGATTCGGCTATTGCGTCGTTATTCGCTAATTCTGAAACATGTCTGTGGACCATTATTGTGTTGACGATAATTACAATAGGTAAGCTTTGCTGGAAAAGATATTAGTTCGGAATGTGGTCATCACCCTCACGAGAAGGACTTGAAAGGATATTTTTTAGACCGGAGCCTTCCTGTAATCGATACTACACGATGCGTAGACGGAAGATCTATTCGGTTTAGGATAACTCCTCTACGCGGTAATGAGGGATACGTTGCCTATTCGCAAACCCGAGAGAGTACGGTGTTTTCACTTCTCGTACCCCGGTTTGAGGGATCCTATTGCCGTTTGGCGGTGTTCCTCGATGCGTTCCTTCAGGAACGTGGAAGTGGCGAAGATTCATGACGACTCGCCAGGGCAGCTCTCCGAGCTCCCTTCTTCTTAGGTATGGCTGATGTGTCCTTTGCGGGACATGGATACCGACGATACTGAAACGTAACGGGATGGTCCATAGCTACACTCCTTTCGTGGCTGGCACCCTACATAATTCGGAAGTCGTCGGTTGCGGGACGAAGGCACCGGATGTCTATGGTTGTCCTCCGCCATGCTCCTCTGCGTAACTGGTGGTGGTTTCCTTCAAATGGTTCTGAGGCTGTTTGTCCAGTAATATAGATTGGTTATTCAGCAAATTGTAACTCCGTAAGACTCTCGAGACGATGTTTTTTTGTTTTAATTGTGTGATTTTAATTGTATATAGACATCGCATCGCATCGCATCGCATCGCAATCGCATATACATATATAAGTTTATTCTAATTCAGGTACGAAGTGTGTAGCTTACGCAGGCACTCATGCTTATATATCAAACCACTATATTTTTTATACATTGAAAATTACCATTACGCTAATAGATTCATGTCGGCTTTTAATCGGTCCAATTATTTCAATTTCGTAATCAGCTCTCTATAACTTTGCTGCTATAATAGGAGTGCGTGCGTGTATTAAATATGTTTCCTGTGTATTAATTACGCGTGTATAAACTCCTTCGTTGACATTGAAGCAATAATGCGCACATTGCTTTTTATCTTACCTTGCGCCGATTTGGAATTCAAGTGGTACGTTAGTATACATATATTGCCAACTGTAATTTAAAAAAATTTGTTGCCAGTTTGAGCATTTTCAGTCGAATTCTCCATGCCACCGGAGAGGTCAAATGCGTATCCTTGTGTATATCGATTTATGATGAAATGAATGCGCAACTAAAGTTTATTGAATTTTCAAAATTGATCTGTCTGAAAATAGAATAAAAAATGGCTGACGCGAGATTTTACTTTTCACAGATACCAAAGGAAAACTCGATATTTATTGCTTTTTCAGGTGTTTTGCCAGAAAAGTGGCGATGTAGAGCAGAGAGGATTTACATGGATTTTATTCTTTGAGAAATAATTTTCATAGAATGGTATTGGGTTTTTTTTATTTTAAAATTATCATCGTACAGTAAGTAGATGGAAAAAACTTATTTTTATCAGGATGATGAACTTTTACTAGTATATAGGAATTTGCTGTGGACTGATGTAAAATCAACTGGAAATATTAATTAGTGAAAAAGCTCTTCACAACTTATGGTCTATTTAATAAAATCTGAATGAGTACATTAACATAATTAACTTGTTATTTATAGTTTGCAAGGTATTTGCATAGCGATGGTGACACAATCGTTTTCAAGGCGTGTCAATTGTATTCAATTAAGTGGATAACTCAATCAAACCGATCAACGCTTTTAATTAAATCAGTAGCCTTATTTATGAATTACATTATTTACGTTAATTCAGATATAGAATGATCATTCAATATTTAATAAAGCAATGAATGGTTAACTTTGATGTATTCACAAGTATCAGAGAACATAATTGCTTGCAGGGTTTCTCAGAGTAGCTTCTCGAAATTAGAACGTGCGTTTCTCCTACGTAAGAATTCGATTAAAAGTGCTGAAACTGATAAGACATTTTTTTTACGATTTGACAACAATGACTAAAGGGGTTTCTTGGGTCACTGAATTTGAATTTGAAATTAGCCAAGTTCAAAATGACTGACCCAAAATGGAGGGTATCATTCTGTCAAGAAAGTGTAAGTATTGTACATTTTTTGCAAATTGTCAAATCTTTGAGATTTTAGACTTTCGCGGCCAATATTGTCATTAGTACTCATGGTTTCCGGATGGAAGCCGCGTCTGTGTTCAGCTTCGTGCCGACGTTTCGCAAACGTTTCAGTCTGCATCTTCAGGGCTAGGAGGCTCCGATACTAGTTGATCAGCTGATCAATTAAAAACAACTTATGATTGGCTGAAGCACTGACCCGCATGAGCAGTCATAGGCATATTAAGACTTCCTGACAACAGGGAGCTTCAGTATCGGAGCCTCCTAGCCCTGAACATGCAGACTGAAACGTTTGCAAAACGTCGGCACGAAGCTGAACACAGACGCGGCTTCCATCCGGAAACCATGAGTACTAATGACAATATTGGCCGCGAAAGTCTAAAATCTCAAAGATTTGACAATTTGCAAAAAATGTACAATACTTACACTTTCTTGACAGAATGATACCCTCCATTTTGGGTCAGTCATTTTGAACTTGGCTAATTTCAAATTCAAATTCAGTGACCCAAGAAACCCCTTTAGTCATTGTATTGTCAATAACTTCAAGTATTGTACATTTTTTTTTAATTTTTGGTCAACCATTTTTTGTCAGCAATTTTAAATATAGCAAATTTATTTCAAAATCGGATGCAGCACTTGCAAAAACCCCTAACTACCAACTGACTTCCAAATCGGAGCAAGTTACGACAAAAAACGGTGTGCGCGCTAATGCGTCAATGACACACAGGGCACGGTTAGATTCCGCGCAGTATTGCGCCAATGCCAACGAAGGGGTTAAACTACTTTAAGACTTCTTCAAACTAAATGATGTCTTAAAGTCATTTTTCAGACGTCCTTTCTACACTTGTGCTAACAGGGTTATTAATGTGTAAAAAACAAAATTTAAAGTTAGAACTCGTCATTTCTTATTATTATCTGTTATTGCAAATTCTATATTTTATACCATATATGTATAAAAAATTTAAAGAAACGTATCTTTAAATTAGCGTCAGAATTTAATCAATTTTATACAAGCACTTGAACAGTAAAACATGTAAGTCGATCGATATTTTATAAATCACGCAAAGATGAATCGATACATGCGTTTCTCGATCACTAAAATAAAAAATGAGAATTGAATCCATTGTTGAAATATGTAATCCTTAACATCCGTTATTCAGATTCCCAGATTATTGGGATTTTGTGAAATCGCTCTTGACGCGAGGTATTCGATTCGAAAAGGATGCGACTGCTTTAACAGGATTTACCATCCACATGGGGGTTACGCATGCCAGCGAAGTCTTTGGCTGGATGTCTGGATAGACAGTTGCTATGGAAACGGGCCATGCGCAAAAGGGTTCGTTTGGCAGTATCTCGACAGGGGTGGTTTTTCGTGTTGGCCACCCGGGATCAAGCAGCTGGGCGGTGTCAGCTTCCCTTTGTTAGTTTCCCTATTTCGCAGTGAACGCTTCTCGAAAATCTTTGAAAATTTTATTAAATACGTAATACACGTCGGGAGCGTATCCAGTGAGTGTTTTTTGGAGCTTCAGGGATGCTGTCGCGCGTGTCTTCGTTTTGCGCTCGGCTACCCCTGCGCCACCGTCCGAATCACCGTGAACAAGTGAAAGTGCTATGTTTTTGGTGCAGTAAATTTACTAAAAATCAGTCGATTCAATAATAAATCTTTTTCATTAATTCTGACATATTTGCTTAATAAATCACACCAGATTATCGCGCTGCCGTCTTTGTTCTGCTTGGAACTATAGAGAATTAAAGTATCGTTCTTTAATGTTTTTCTTTTCAAGGGTTAAAATTCTGTCTGTCAACTAGAACATTTAATAACCGATATATTTATTCATAACATCGTGTATAATATCTTTTGAATATCAGTGCACGTGCTATAAATCGTTAATATCATTCCAAAACTGGAATGATAATTAAATGGAGTAAAATTTGGACTAAAATTTCGGTTAGGTTGTTACTTTCTAAAAATCCTCAGTACTTAACTATTCAATGATCTAATGTCACTCGAAAAATGAGAAAATATTTACTTCTTTCATTGTGTCATAACTTTAAACAAGACGTGCACTGTATTTATCTGTGTCGTAATTGATACTACTTTTAAAGAGAATAATGTAACTATGAAATATGTGAAATGTCGTAATAATGTAACTATATTCGTCGAATCATTCTAAATGAAATCATCTACAGGTTAATATAACTATGCAACGTGTTGATTATGAAAAGCAATACCAGCAGGAGAGAACAACAAAAGAGTACAGAAGATGTGAAGTTGTAGCAAATAGTTGAGCAACCGATAAAATTCTTGAAAGTTCCATTCAGCTTCTAGCAATATATTTCAAAATTCATAATGAATAAAAATCAATAAGCAGCCATAAAATAACGCAATGAAATAGGGGCAAGAATCGGATAAACAAAAAATACGCTTAACGTAGTTGATTCGTTTGTTGGCTTTGTTTTTGTTAAATGGACCTTTTGTTTACATAACCATAGTGGGTATGTGGCGCCCCGACGTGTTGTCTTGTCGAAACATCCCCACGGCTCTGAGGATAGCTTTATACGGGGTGTGGCAAAAGTTATTGCCCTTTCGTCCAATACTTTTGTACTTCGTTTCGTTCATTTACTTTTTTCTCGTCGACCATCCCTTGTTCGCGCTTTGTTTTATTCTCATTTCAAGTCCCATTCATCTTGACCCCAACTTTCACTAAGCTACAAGCACGCTTTTCCTTTATATTTGTGTTTTACCGAGTGTTGTATATGCGTTTTTTTTATCGTATTATTTTCCGTACGGATCTTTAAGCTAAAGCTCACGTATGATATTACACAGTACGATCCTTAACATTACGTCTTTGGCATGCTGCTCGTATATTTTAATAATCTATCATAAGTTCTAGAACATGAAATTATTTTTAAACAAAAATTTCTTAGGACATGAAAGTTACATGGGACTGGTTATTTGCCTTCTTCTTAATGCTTCTAGAGTCCTCATTCGACATCAGACTCCTTTTTGAAAGGCAAGTGTCCTAGGTTAGACACAGGAATTCATTTTTTGTACAAGTTACAGGTATCTGATTAATATGAATTGTGTAACGTCTGTCATGAGCAGTCAGGATAATTATTTGAAATTACGTATTCGACTTCTTAAATCAACATTTCCTTCAATGAAACATTGAAGTCGGTATTTAAATTGTGATTCAGACGATTTATTCACGTAGTTTCGGTTACAACTTCCGTTAGGTCTACTACAAGTCTAATTTAATATTCTAATAGTTTTCTTGCATGAAATCTAAGAATACTGTGATCATTGGCCATATCAAGGGTAGAGGGAGCAGTAAATGACGTAATGCAATCTATAATTTCTATTTTGCACAGATATATTTTAGTAGTCACTCATCGTCATTTAATGTCATGTATGTGCCTCTAGCTTAAAGCAAATATTTCTATTAAATCAGTAAACAGAGACATGATTGACCGCTGGAATTGCACGTGAGAAACTAATTGAAAATGGATATTTTCTGTGCCTAGAATAAATAAACACGATTATATAATAAATAGCTCTAAACACGAATCATTTATTCTAACAGAATTAATTTAAAATGACATTATGAGTCAAAAATAAATTAATGAATCATTCTTGTTTTTTGTTTTATTATCTCGTGATTATTTTACAATTTTAAACTACCATTTTCTGAATTTGTCTTTCACTTTGACGTTAGTTGTTAATCGTTAACGCAATGATGTGTTACTAAATTTTAACGAACAAGTTGAATTTTGTCCTGCGCATTTTTTACAATATTTATTATTTTTAATGTTATTTACTATCTACATTTTCTACCTAAATTTTCATAATTGATTCTTGATAGAGCATTCGTTATAATTACAATCAATGCCATAAGTCTTCGTAAATCATGAATTTAGTGAGAAGTACACCATATTTATTTACGTAAATGAATATTTCCTTCGCTTTACTTTATGATTTGAAAAACATATCGTAACTAATTGAAATATACTATGCGTCTTTTAGGAGGCTCTAAGTTTTTTTCAAGGTAACGCACCATGTGATTATCCAGATCCTGTGTTGCTTTCAGAGACTCTTAAACCGTCCAATTAACCACCCCAGGGGTACTTCGATCAAAAGTGATAATAGGGAATTCTTTCAGCGCCGTTATTCATAAATTCTAGAAAAGTTTATTAGTGATCTTTATTATATGCATAGAGGGATTTCTAATTGGGTTGGATAATGCTCTATTACGTTCAAGCGCCTTTCATTCCTAATGCAGTAATTTCATCAACTGAACACCACCTATTAAACGAAGTTACTGCTAAATTTTTTTTTATGAGGGAGAAAATTGATATTTATTGAATTAGTTATACGGATACCAATGACACTGAATTGTCAATATAACGATGAATCCTTCAATTCTGCCAAAAACACTTTTATTTTAAATTTATGAAATCTGCAATATTGCATCAATAGGCATATCAAAATGAATATGAATTTGATCATAACATAGCTATTATCCAGTAGTGGGATTTGACACATGACTACATTTAATATTTGAATTCAAATAGGGTAAAACTACGTATATCTTACATAAAGACACATTTAACACAATTCAAACAATACGTTGCATGTCATATACAAAAGAATGTGTTCTTTTATTTTTATCTTCAGATTGAGAGGTTGAACTATATAATTTCGTACATTTGTGTACCTATACATCATATGGAAGATATTGATATAGTAATAGCACAGTTAGGAAATTTGTAGGCTTACCTTGTCGTAGCGTCAGCCTTTCAGTTCGAAAACTTTTTCATTTCTTTGATTATTATATTTACATGTTTCACATTTCAGTTAACAATTACACAAATACTTGTAACAATTGAAGTTAAACTCATGATAAGAGTAACTGATCAAGCAGTTTGTTAAATATTATCTATGAAATGAAAACGTGTAAAATTGCAAACGCAAGCTAAATCATTTTTAATTTGTAAATTTATAAAACATTCGTGGTTCATGAAGCGTAAAGTTGAGGTTTTGCTTATATGATTAAATTTGAATAGACGTTCTAATAGATTTATAGCCACATGTAGGGTGCGTTCAACATAGGCGCTTATACGCTTGCAGCGCTCACGTTTATGGGCAGTTATGTAGTGGGTTCGAGTTGGACTTGGCGCTTTAACGAGCTCACGCTATGACCGTTCGAATTGGCGTGAGTTAGCGTTATAAGCATCAATATGGAACGCTTTTAGTTTCGCTTGCCATAACTACTGTATTATACATATACTTTAATTGGTCATTTTATAAATTCACAGAGAATATTTTTCGTGATATCTTATCCATTTTTTTTTATAAAACGAATTTTTTACTATGTTAGCTGTATACATATACATATGTTACGCGCTATTCGACTTGAAGGAATAGCGCACTTTGACGCTCAAGTTTTTGTTGCCCTATCTTGTTGGCGAAAGCGTCTGTTAGCACAAGATGGAAGTGATTATGACATTTTTTACTTACATTCTTACATACTTACATTCTGATTGAATTCTTTAATGGAAATATTTTCTTACTGCGTAATATGTGCTTTAGTACTTTTACACAAGACGTTGTATATCTTTTCCCACATTAGATGAATTGATTTCAAGGAAAACTGCCAATACTTGAAACAAATTCACATTGTTTCATGTAAAATAATGTGAGAAATTAAAACATATACGAAAATATTTTCGAAAACTATATTAATGTTTCTTTTATGGAAGGGTGATAAATTTAATTTGAGCTCCATCCCGGTTCGTTACTAAGAAACTAAATGTGCACCCTGCTGAAACTCGTAGAGATAACTCTAAGATTTCGTAATCCTCAGTCTGCTATAGCCGCAGGCTTATATGCGTTGTTATGGGTAGATGGGACAGTAGAATGAGGAAGATATCTCCAATAATGTTGTATTCGGACATTTTACTTAAGACAATTGCCGAGTCTCGCTTCGATCAATCAGATTATGTTGTATTTCACCTGATATTCCATTTTATTCATTTTTTCCTTTTTTTTCTTTTTTTTTTTTTTTTTTTTTTTTTTTTTTTTTTTTTTTTTGTTCTTACTTTGTGCCTAATGCAACGAGGAAAAGCTAGCACGAAACAGTGAGACATCTTTAAAGTGATTACCGGTCATCGGATATTTTCAGAATTACATCTTCGGTTCTCTCGGTTCTCACGGTTGATCATATTCACCTATTGTCTCTTTAGTGGAGAAAGAATTAATTTCATATGAAACGTTGTAGGATGTTTTTATTGAAAACTTTTTATTCGTCGTGCTGAACAAAAACACAATGGTTTTTCAATACTATTGAAAGCATAATCAAAATCTAATACGGAACTTTGTAATAAATTTCACTTTTTTCAAGTTCATTAACTTATACAATTGTAAATCCACAAATACACTTGATTGAGCAAGAGAGGTATTTTGAGACATTTTGGATTTCTGAGATAAGGATATTTTAAATCTTGTCTTGATGAGATCTGAGTAATATGTCTGACAGCCAACAAGCCGCGATAATTCGCTTACGTAGATATTACAAAATAGAACTTATTTGTGGAGTTACAAACATGTTACTTAGAGCAACTGCATATAAGTAATCTGTCAATATTATTATAGAATTTCTGTACACAATCAATAATTTTATTCATATTAGGGTCTATACTGTTAAATTCTATAGCTGTACCTACATACAATATCCATCTACAGCTGAATTTAGTTAAAAACCCTGTTTCAATAGGAATTGTTGTCAACGTATCTTAGACGTTTACGTCCATAGAAAAACCTATCAATCTAAAATAAAACGCTTGTTAAATTATAATAAAGCAACGTTTGATGCCATGTTAAGTTTAAAATTTTGTTTGTCTAAATTCGTTTGATTCACGTTTGGCCATACAACTGGTTCATGTCATGTCTTCTTTGGATAAACGCATCCTTTAAGTCTAACAAGCTCCAGTACAAAAGAAAATTCGTCTTTCATCTAAGATCCTTTCAAGAAAGGTACTTCCGACTCGCTCTTCGTTAATCGATCTTTCAGTAGTACTGTCTGCTTCCGTCTTCATCAGCATATACATATATGTATACATATATATATTTTTTCAACCAATGGTATAAAAGTGACAAAAATCACAGATGTATTGAGGATTATATCCACATAGGATTATATCCATCTCTTGTCAAAATCCTGTGGACAAAAGAGGAAACAATGTTCCAAACGGAAGAGCGTGGATTCAAATTGTTTGGTATTGTGAATGTTATTTGACACCGTTCGGCATGAAAGGTGCACCAATATTGGCATGTCTTTCGTTTTGTCTTAATCATCGTTTCCTATTCCAAGTGAGCATGGCGTCAAATTACCTTCATTTTCCCATTACACTCTTCTTCTTATCTGGGGCGGAACAATTTAAGAGATCCGTGGTTAATAGCACTAGGGTTTCGGTGTCAGCCAACCTGAACCGTGTTCACCGATATTCAAGTAATTGTTTCTGAACAAAAATATACTCACGTGGAATAAATATGCAAAATTAACAAGTTCATACTTTTCAAAAAAACTCTCAAAGTTTTAACAACAATGAACAAAAAATGTATGAAGTCGAATAAGTAATCATGTTAGTATGGAATAAGATTTTTATATCATTCATTGAATGTTTCAAAATAATTTTATTGAAAACTTGTTAGTTTAAAACTAAGCAAGTATCCTAATAGAAAAAAATTAGAATAATGGTATTTTTTTACTGATTCATGAAGAAATTTATTCTCTTGAAACATGATACTAGTGCGTTAATAATATTGAAACCATTTTCGTATTCATTTCAGTTATTTAAGCATTAGACTTGCGTGTCTGAAGACTGCCAACTCCCTGCTCTCGATATACCAGGTTATATAATATTCCCCTACCGTAGGCTAATCACTTAGACGGGAGCATTCTGTTTTATTAAGGGATTCAACGAACGTTCCTGTATCTTTAGCTATTAAGATGGAGGCTTCTTGGCATCTTAATGTTTGTTGAAAAATGGATATAAGCACGGATATTGTAGAATTTATAAATGCAGGGTAAAGTTAGTGGTTGTTTGTAAAAATGAACACTGTTCTTAATAATCACTCCTAATAAGAAATCGAAAAGAAATTACACAAATCAATTGGAACTCTGCATTGTTCTAGTTAAGTCTTTATTATCGACCCGCTCAAAGGTATGACGTAGGGCTTTAGATTATTGTGCAATTTTAACTATGACGATAGTAGTTATCGTAGATTTTCTTATTGCGGTTAGATCACCAAAATTGAATTAGTATTAAGTATTGTTCCTCCGTTTCACGCAAAAACTAATAGTAGTCTCCCAAACTAATTACGTTCAAAATAAAATTCTAACCCGATTTTAGAATGTTTCTAACACTCAATGGCTTTGAGCGAGAAGAGGGAAGATGAGAAATAATAATTATCAATAAAGTGATGTTCTATGTAGCAATCGATGTTAAAAGACATAAATATACAAGTGATCATCATGACAGTGATATGAGACAAACTAAATAACACATGTAAATAAATATTCAAATAATAATTCGTCAAAAGACAAGACAGATAATCGTAGACAAGAACTTTAATCGGGTCTAGGTTGGCAACAAGGTTCCGCAAGTTCGAGAACTTGTATTGCGTCACAAGTATTTCCAAGTGGGAAGGCATGTGGGAGATGAAATTAAGTTATTTAACGATCATTTTAAGTGCTCTACGAAGAGGATGGAACACAAGCATACCAATTGACAGGATGTAAGAGATTCAGAGTATCAAGGCCTCTCGAAGATCAAATTCAGAATATTTCTTGTGACAAAGTGCCCTATATATAAAATGCAATTCCCACGAAGTTTTCTTCTGATCCTCGGAATGTTGATAATTTCGTACGCGAACGGATGGACACCGTCAAATAAGGGATTCTACTCCGAGAATCCACGGAGCAATTCATCCCTGCCAAAGTTGACAATCGGCCTGATAGTGCCTCACACAAATTTTTTGGCACGAGAGTACAGCAAAGCCATTAGCAAAGCTGTAACCGGTCTTCACCGAGGAAGAGGTTCACCGAAATTCTCTTTTTTGGAAAAATACCAGTTCAATCAGTCACACATAAAAAATGTAATGATGGAATTGACTCCAAGTCCGACAGGTAAATATATTTTACGACTGATAAACAATTTGTTTTTCCCAAATCTTTTTATCGTAGAAACTGCGAAGGTACCATTAGAAATTATGGCATCTATCTTCTTGTGAATGAAACTCATTTGATTGAATCAAAATTTGAAACTCAAAATGACAACCGATAAGATACTCGTGGATGAAATGTTGGTGATAAAAAAAAAGAGATGAAAATGAATACATATGTCTCCAACAAAATATAAATTGTTTAATGTGAAATGACCAAATGTTGAACGTGTATAAAAGTTTTATAAAAATAGTTTTCATATTTGGGTTCAATATAAAATGAAATCAATCACATTTTCTTGAGAGCAGAGCTCAGGTGTGATGATTCTGTACTTTGCATGGACTTCGAAAGTGGCTCATTATAATGTGTATTTCGAGATCTAGTCCGATGTCGACATGCACGCCGGGATTATACTTGATTCGTACGGTAGGAACTTTTCACGTACTTATCACATACTTCATTGACGTGATATGAATTTTGAACGCAGCTTGCGATAGAAACTTTGCACGTACTTCTCGCATACTTGACTATAAAGCGAAATGCATTTTTCATTCACTTTTCGCATATTTGATTGTTAATACAAAATTTACATGCAACATGAATTGTAACACAAAGTTCTTTTGTATTTCATATACGAAATACATTTTTCGTGGTACATAATCTACTTATGTATAGAATATTGAAGTTTGTGCAGTCCAGGGAGTCGGATTCAACGTCTTCGTCGCCCTAGACCTCCAGACCGAGAAAGTCACCTACGCACACGAGACGCGATATTTGAACGTAACTTGTAACTCAAACTTTTTACGTACCTTTCATGTAATTAATTTGTGATACTTCGGTTCTTATAATATTGTTTATTATCTATGTAGTGATATATAGAGAGGTAAATATTCAAGAGATAAAAATGAGTTACAAGCCAAAGATATGTATTTAAAAGTTCATGAATCGTCAATACATGAATGATATTCGTCCACCGACTTCTCAGTATGCCAATCAAGAACTGACTACCTCTTCTTCAAAACATCATATTTCTAGTCCTTTTGTTCTCACTCCTACAGCCCTCCTTAAAACTCTATTGTTTCTCCACGCACCCAACTTGAGCTTTGGCAATGAAGAATCTGACCTGTCAACCTCCGCGTAGGTGTCGTACTAGTAGTCCGTTCTTATAGTAGCTGGAATTTTCAACTGTTTATACTATGTAAGTATTCAGCTATGCATTTTATTTATATCAATAATAAAAATTTCCATTGGATACGAATCTTGGACAGTAATCCAAATAGAAAATGAACTTCGGAAGCTTGGGGCTTCGTTGAACGGAAAATAACATCTCCTTGTTAGGTAAATATAATAAACGATATTCCGACGGTTTATGTAAAGTAAGTTACATGAGCGTTGCACTATAATGGATTAATTGATTTCGCGAATTAAACTTTTATTTCTAATTAAATTTAAAATCGTATAAGAATTCACAAGTATGTTGTTTTAGTTGTTAATATGAGGCGGCGATTATTGAGGTTATAAGTTTGACATGATGCAAATTGATATACGTCCCTTGTGTATGCCCATTTATTTATTTACAGATTAGTTTATTATGATCGAAATAACAATTTCAATCACAAAGCTTCGAGTACATCAGTTAAATGCTTATTTGACTGATGACAGACTCTAAGAGTACTTCTATGTAATTGACGACTCCGAAAGACAGAGGTTAGGATTTTAGTTTTATATATAACGTCGAAAATGTTATTATTTTTATGATTACCATATTTCCGAAGTCGGCCCTAATTTTCTCTATTTTTCTCAATTTATAAAAGCTTTATATTTATATTATTTATTAGGTAACATATGTTTTGACGATAGTGCTGTTTGAATATCCCACTACTGTGAGAACCAGCAACTAATACGACACCTACGATGAGCTTTACATGTTAGGTTCCCCATTGTCACTCGGCCATTTTGGACGTCAGCTCATCCTGTAACCTATTCTATACTATCGCATATCTTAACACTTAAAACTTTACATTTGCCTTCCAGCCTACATAAAGTTGTCAACCATATTGTCCAAACACATGCGCAAATATTTCTTCTAACAGGCTAAATGGTTAAAGCAAATTAAACTTAATACTTGTATACTATGAATCTTCCTGATATTGCATACTGGTACTGAATCTTTGTTATTCGCAGTTCACAGTTTGCTATAATTCACAGAGTGATTGCTAATCACAGTGAGACATTGAAATCAGAAAAAATGAAGATTAGGGAATCTTTCTCTTTTCACTTAAAAGTATTTGCTCAAGAGGTGGTACCATCTATGTCGATCCATCTTTGTTAACGTTTCTTCCAAGTAACTTTTGAGAAGCTTATCTTAATAGCGAAATCTGAAAATTACGTGAAAGCAGGTTTGAAACTCGAGTTCGACGTCCTCGTCCACTTAGATATCAAGACACTTTTTCTTGCCCACTTGGAATCCCAGCACTCATGTCGTCATCAGTCTGGATCTCCAAAACCATATTTTAATAAGCGAACCCCAAAGTAGACACGTGAAAAGTGTAGGATCGGCTTAGTGGTAGTAGTAGACAAAATACTGATGAGACCCTGATACGTGATGTACTTTTGTTTTTACACGGCAAATTATAAGGAACTGCGTTCATATACTTGTGAGTGTTAAATTAAACTCAAGACATCGACAAGAAACGTATGGAATAATTAAATAAAACTATTGTACAAATATAATGAAAAAGCTACATTCATAATAACATCGTCGAATATTATATAAACATGTTCTGTCAACATGAATAGAATTTATATTAACTATTACTTGATATCGAAATAATATCGAACTGTAATACCAATCTGTATAAAATTTTATATCTACTCAGGTAACAATATTACTATGTACTTTCGTTAATTCGTTAATGGTTACGCTAGTTAGTTATAGAACCACTCACATTATCGAAGGGTCCCTAGTGGATTATGTACTTTAATCAAGTTTATCCAAACATGCTCAGTTTGTACTGGTAATATCGTGCGCTGGTATTCCTGAGATGTTTTCAGAATACCGCCAATAAACAAGATAATCAGTAATAGGATGTTGATACTGATGAAGAAAATTGAAACGCTAAAGTTCCATATTCTTGGTTATTCGTAGAAGGGCTATGGTAATTGCAATCTTCGATTTGTCTTCCACACTTCTTTCTGATTTCTTGTAACCTCAAATATCAATTCTTTTTCCTTCCTAACTTTTCGTTACGACATTTCTTAAGTCTCCTCACAAAACGTACGAATGGCGAAGTGATACGATCATTAATTCAATTTTCGGAATTCGTCTCTCGACCTTGCTTAGCTTCTCGACGCATTGCCGTTCCCATCAGAATAACCCGAAAAAATTATTTCTTTGACGGTTTCCTTCCAGTGATGAACGAGCAGACTAAAATTAACATTTGAATAGCCCGCAACATTTTCGGCCTATTGAGAAATCTTTTCAATTTTTTAGACTTGATAGGGCGTATCTGTACGTATATGCGTGCGTGTCCATGTCCGATTACTGAATATTCACATACGTCGTGAATTACTCGCAATTAATTGGCTGCCAATATGTGAAATACATGTTCTCCATATTTCGAACTATTCACTGAATAATTTTGGGAAAAACGAATAGAGTCTTTCACGTCCACACTACTAACATTTGTAATCTATTTTTATGAATTACGAATGAACTCTTGCATTTTCCATTATTTCTGTTCAGTATAAATTACTGTGTTCACGGTAAGTGCTCTAATTTTTCTGATTCAAGATCGAGTAAAACTTCTTCTTCTTAAATCTGTTGGCTTAGAGTAACATTTCAGGGAGGGTCTTCGATTTCAAATCCAATTAAAATGTATATTAATTTCAGGCTTTTTAAGTTTACCAAGCATTTGGTAGAAATAAAAAAGTATGAGCAGACCAGCATCTCAAAATAAGGGTTCATATCTGGATGTAAAAAATATTTTAAAAAAGCAAAAAAGTTTATTTCTCCATTCAATGTTTGTTTGTTGAAGACTAAAACTAAATATTTATCTCATTTTAAACATTTTGGAAGTGAAAAGTTATCGTTTGTCCTTGCCGTTAAACCATTTAATACTTTTCAATTTTCGACATCTTCGTTTATTCAAATAAATATACTTTTGAAGCGAAGGGGTCCATAATATTTTATCTGACCCGTTAATATCTTCTTTTTACAACGGCATTGGAATTTTCGACTTTTATCAATTACAATAGAAATGGTGGCTTTTTTCAAAATGTTTTTTTCACGATTCCTCCGACACTTCGATGGCTTTACATGGATTTTCCATCACTTTAAATGCATACCATTGCAATTAAATATACACCTATCTCTTCGTTATTATCTAATAAACAAATTGATGACCTTAAAAACCTTTTTACTACAAGATAAATCGAACGGGAACGGTCGAAAGGTCGTGGAATACAGCATCGTCCCGGTATACAGCTCCCGTGTTTTCCAAATAGAGGTATACAGTTCTAGAGTTACATAAATATTTCATGCGCTTAATGTAGACGTCTTATTTAATCCATCCATTACTCATAGTTGTAATCAATATTCGCCTAATATTTCTCTGTAGCTCTGTGGTATAAGCTATGTCAGGTACATGTATAGCAGAATATCCACCGCTTTAGGTCTTCCTATTATTACCTAACAGCAAATTACGAGCAGTATGTGCACTTAGTTAATATTGTATGATTTAAAGTATTTCTATTCAATAGCAATTTTAACTTGTCCAAATTATGACACTCCGAGTGCAAATATAACATAATTTTAACAATGTAACAATTCTAACAACTAAAATATATTTATTAATAAATATACGCAATGCTTCCGCATCAAATTAAACTATCCGACATAAAAAGTCAGTATACTGAATCTACGTAACAGTTTAAATAACTTTTTTAAATTCATTTCCCAGATTATGATCGCATTAGAACTATAATAAAGAAGTGTTTTGCGGACACATGTCATTAAAATTTTCACAATTTAACTGAGTCATTGCACATTAAACGAAAAGGAATTCAAGAAAAAGGAGAGAAAGAAACTTCAGTTCAAATTATCTTCGTTATACATATAAATATAATGTAGAATCGTCTGCTTTGTTATAGATATTTTCATATTTGGAACAATAAGACATTTTATTGTCATCTAAACTAGAGCTTTTTTATTATCAAGAATATAACAAAAAAATTATTACTATGGTATTTTCAAGTCTTGTTCTTTCTTACTTTATTTTATACAATAATTTATTATGGCCGTGAAACCGATTAATGAGTTCTAAATCAAGTTTGTATTGCGGAAAAGAAAGAAAATTGTACAAAGAGTCCTGTAACAGATATTACAACAGGGAAGGTTATATTTCTGCAGAAAAAAGTAAATAAAAAATGTAAAACAAATATTTTTCGTACGAGGTTTCCTGTTAAGCAAAAATTATTTTGAATATTCGTTGGGCATACGTGCACTTATTATCTGTTTTTACTTACCAGATTTCGCTATAGATTATTACCTCTGTTTGTATCTGGATTCTATTCAGTAGTCGAGGTTATACAATAAAAGCCAAAGCCTTCGAGACCCGAGATACTCCAGAAAGCGTACATAGCCATTTATTATGAAGACAACAGTTGTGCAATACAAAGGATAACAATTCCAACAAATTATAAGCTATTCAAATAAAATTCTTAAAATGTGAACGTCTTCTTTAACTGCATATCTTCAATTGCTGAATGGTATATAAACACAAATATTGTAGAAATAATGATCGTTCGAAATGAGGTTCCAGCATGTAATAAAATGCCTTTATAATATTGAATAGACACTATACTCTTGTCAGAAAAAGAATTGCTTCTGAAACAAATGGACAGGTTTCATAAGTCGAAAATTTGTTGAATTTTTTCGACAAGATTCCGACAATAATTCGAAATTTATTGTTGGAATAACGTTGCTTTATACATAAGATGGTTAAAACAAGTGGCCAAAAGGCCGATTAGAATTAACTGATCAGCCTCCTTTACTTTTGTGAAAGTACGGTAATGCGACATTTTCTCTGAAGAATAAGAAGACGAAAAAACCTAGCTGAGTCAAAAGATGGCTCTGAGAATCCCACCACTTCCAACCTTCATTTTCCGGACCCTCGGAAATAGGCTTTCATTTATCTGACAATCTACTGGGCTATTTCTGGTCCTTCTGATTAAAACCTGTCAGGCCTTTCGAATTGTTCTTTTCAATCGTACGCTTTTGAATCGTGGGCTACAAGCGATGATAATAAAAGCCTTAGATAGCAAAATGTTGTATAAAGATCCTACGTTACATACACACCTGAAAAGATAATTATATCACAGCAGTGTGTGAAGCGTTGCAGTAATGAACCTATACTTATGATATTATTATTATTAGTATCTTTATATTGGCGCAATTACCGACCCTTTTTAGTATAGCTGATATTTGAAGCAATAATACTGAAAATTTATTACACAATAGGCAAGATATTTTTCTTGTGTTGTATTATCGATTCACGAGTATCATATTTTACCTAGAGAAAAGTTACAATCTAAAATATATTTTGCGAGTGATTTGTTAAAATTAATATATTTTTGTTAATAGTAACAGCCAAGAAATGGATGTTTTAATACTCAGTTACCAGAAGAAAATTGCAAAAAAATGAATATAATAACTGAAACAATCAAGATTAAATACAATTCATTAGAGAAAAATAAGCATTGCAATTTTAAAAGATTAAAAATTGAAATACAAAAATTAAAAAAAATATCATTCATACATTCATTCACACACGTATAACAAATTACAAAAATTTTACAGTTACGTCTGCTCAGCAATAATCTCGTTAGCAATAAAGGAATAGTAAACAAAATAATTATCGCTTGTTAAGTTTAGTGTAATGCAATCATGGATCCAAATCATACCTCGCACTCTCTTACATTGGTCTTCCGTGTGAAAAATCGTTATTTCTTCGTGGAAAATCCGGATGCCTTGTTTCGTTAGTAAGCGCAGAATTTGGGAGCAACGTGGTCCAGAAGTAACTGATACAGATACACACAGGAGTCTTTTTAGGCACATATAATGCTGCCGTAATGATGACGTTGTATGAATTTCGAAATGATGAAGGTGAAAAGTATCACATTAAAGCCGTTGTTTTCTGCATCGATATTTCGCAATTTTGCAGTTCTCCTTTAAAAGCATCTTGACTATTGTACGCTCAACGAGTGAAAGGGGCGAGTGAGAGCTATGACGAGATGATATAGCGCTAGCGATTTAAAACAGAAAGGCGTATTTGGTAAAGCTAATGCAGTAGATATTGAATATAATAACTAATGAGAAGTAATGCAAATACTGTCGGTATACAGGACAGACGCGATCGGTATACCAGTTTTCTTATAATGGACAGATTATAGTGACAAAATTCAAATATTCAATTTCGTCTTTGTATATTGCTAGCATTTAACTTATTTGAAAGTTCTTATTAGTTCTTATTATAAATTTCCATTAAAAAAGTAGCACTCGATTAAATAAGATTTTTTATTGATTTTCATCTAGAAGATTAAAATTCTTAACTAGGTTATACCATTTCTTATGTGAAAAATATCTAAAGTGTGCTCTCTTTGCTCAGACTCTCTTTTTCTTTCGTTTAAGACAGAATAGTTAGACGAGCCCTAATTCAAGAACCAACAACACGTACCTTTACTCTTTTCACTGTCTTGTATCAATAGTCAATATACTCAATTTTTACGTTGAAATGTCCTGAGTTTATTCTTATTAAAATACCTGCTGTCTTTATTAGTAGCATTAGAAGTTCATCAGCACGTTCGCCGAAATCTTTCCGATTTACAGCACAGAACGTCGTGAACATTGGCATTGTACAAAAATTCAATAATTTATGTTACCTAGGTATTTATTAGTGTCCTTATGTAAGAATACATTTTCTAACTGAATACGTAAGACTCTTGTAAAATTCAATCAGTTCATAGCTTCAAAATGGTACCATCAAATAATTTTGTCGTTGATAAAGTAAAAATATGTTTTCTAATTTGTAATTTCATTTATAACTTTTACATTCAAAGTAATATAATCCAGACAAAACAGAGTTATGATTATATTTTAGCAATTATAATATTTCATACTTAAGAATTGACCAGTTATGTACGTCAGCTATTTATGATATTACATTACCGACTGTAAACTTGTAATGTTGTCGATATGTAAATGACATCTGGTTTTTGCTGAGAAAAAGAATACTTGTATGTACATAGTCTTTGATTAGAACTTTAAATGTTTCATAAAGTACCTAAACGAGCAACGATTATTTTTTAGTTTTTATAAAGAACTACAACTATTACGTGTCCACGCATATTTACACTATTTTTTAAATATCAAATTTTTCGTAAAACTTTGTATTTTACTATTTCAGAAATATGTCGAGAAATTTCAAATGTGAAATTTGAATTTTCAATTTCCAAATATAACGGGAAGCTCTATAACCCCATTTCACAATTGAAATTCCAATATACCAACGTGCATATATGTATCCGGTATCTAACTGGAATGTATGGATATATATCATGTCCACGCCACTGCGTTTGGATTCTGATTAGCTTTATCATTAACTCACATAGGAACTATAATGTACTTGATTAGTAAAAATCGATCTGCATATAGTTTAGTGAAGTTCTACGTTTATCTACTTATGAAAATATTTGATGTCTGGTTATGCCGTCTTGTCTGAAATAATCTTTTAAAAATATTAAATATTTTAAAAAATTAAGTTGGTTTGTTTGAACAATTCGAAAAAGCACGTCCCTGAACATATATAGGTCACAACATTCCTAGTAAGGTACTAAAATGTAGGTCAGCAGCTAGCTGCAACCTCGATACCGTAATCGTCCCACCCTCGGTATATATGCCGTTATTTTGCGGATGCAAATGGCGTATTTTACTATAGTCAAGTTAATATCAGGAACTGTAGGTTCCTAAATGAAATATTGCCCATAAACCGATTTAAACTTTCGTATATGTAGCAGATTGTGTGGAATCCAAATAGTTAAGTGCTAGTTTTTGCGTAAATACGAATATATTTGTTGATTTCTAAAATTTATTCCAGATTTACTCTGTGTTAGAGCTAGAATAACAATCTATTTACTTCAAACGTGATATGTTGAAGCACTAACACTCTTTTAGTATTTTCATTTAAATAATTTGTTTTGTATTTATATAAATTGATAGTCGGATAGTCTCCAATGAATTACGTCTGCTGTAAAAAGACAGGACTTCGGTTTTTTTTTTTTTTTGAAGAAATAGCTTTTTTTCAGGAACAAGAATGCGTTGGAATGCTGATACTATTTTCGATAGCTCACTAAAATAGGTTCACGACGTATATGGTATTGGGAGGGTTGACGGAAATAGGTGATAAATAAAATAAATGGACGTATAGGTCGGAGCCAAAGGGACAAACTGGAAACTAGTAACTGGAAACCTAGTATGGCTATCGGCAATCGAATCCATTCCTGTATGAAATTGGTGTCCGGTGGTCGACAAAGCTGCAATGCTTCAATGTATTGTTAAATTGAGAAACAAATTTGATGTCTATATATATATATATATCTTTAGTAAAAGAGAGCAGTATAAGTGTGTATTTCTATAGATATGTTTGCTGTTTTCCGATTCGAGTTTAATAGTGGAGAAATGAAGTGAAACTATACACAAAATTTAAAAAACCCGATTGAAACGTTACATGTTTGCATTTTTTTGCAGCTATACTGAACTCCCTATGCACGAAGTTTCTCTCGGTCAACGTTTCGGCAATCTTATACCTCATGAACTATGAGCAGTACGGCCGCAGCACAGCAAGTACGCAGTATTTCCTCCAGCTCGCCGGGTACCTTGGAATCCCTGTGATAGCGTGGAATGCTGACAATTCTGGTCTCGAGAGGGTGAGTATCCTTTCGTAAGTGGCGTGAGCCAGGCCCTTTTGAACCCAACAATGGAATTTTCTCCGCTTTTTGTCGACCATGATTGAATTCTCCTTGTGGTTTTCTTGTTTCGGTTAAAATAGAGAGCCTCGCAAAGCAGCCTGCAGCTGCAACTGGCGCCATCGCTTGAACATCAAACAGCGGCTATGCTGAGCATCCTCGAAAGATACAAATGGCATCAATTCAGCGTGGTTACGTCACAGATCGCAGGCCACGATGACTTCATTCAGGCGGTCCGTGAACGAATTTCCGACATGCAAGATACTTTCAAGTTTACAATACTGAACGCGGTATTAGTGACTAAACCGCATGATTTACTCGAGTTGGTGAATAGTGAATCCCGGGTAATGCTACTCTACTCAACGAGGGAAGAAGCCACTCACATTCTGACGGCTGCCCGAGATCTCAAGATTACTGGCGAAAATTACGTGTGGGTTGTTACTCAAAGTGTCATCGAGAATCTACAAACACCAAATCAATTTCCAGTTGGGATGCTCGGTGAGTATTAGATTTGCTCTGAAAGATTTCCCTTCCGCCTGTGCTTGACACGATGGCTAAATCGATTTGCGGCCTAGTTGTCTGATGAGGTTAGCTTCGGCAGATGCGTAATTTTCCAATAAGTATTCTTTGCGTGATAGAGATATCCAACAATTTCCGGTTTCAATAAGACTTCTTTTATTATTTTTTTTTTATCAAATGGATGTTTCCAAGTAGAAATCCACCCGTAACTCGTCACTTCGAATTTCTTCGTAAAGTATTTAACATCATTTTAATTATATTTTCAATATTTTCTATAACGTTTTCGGTACTCTTTTATGTTACTGCTGCTTCCCGTATTTAATTATGGTTTAATGGTGATTTAATAATTAATAAAACTTTAGGTGATTCCTTATCGAGTACTACTTGATGGGTCCGTGCCAGGAATTCCAAAGTACTTACTTTGGACGTGCTCATAGTATTCTAATGCTGTATGTTTGTTATTAAGCTTTTACCGTGTTTATTTTTGACGAGTTATTGTTAATATGCTTTCTATAGACAATTGGTACTGGTTTTGTACCAAATTTATATCAAGAAATGCACGGAGCCGCCAAGTAGTACTCGATAAGGAATCACCTTAAGTTTTATTAATTATTAAATCACCATTAAATCGTAATTAAATACGGGAAGCAGTAGTAACATAAAAAAGTAGCGAAAACGTTATAGGAAATATTGAAAATATAATTAAAATGATGGGCCAGTGCTAGATCATATAATAGGAAAACATGTAGTGACTTATGTACTTGGCCTCAATAATATGATATCAATACTTTTTGTTAGAGGAATTCACAGCAATCCTGTACTTGGCGTAGTTTTTTACACGTAAGTGTTTTTTCGTGGATTCTTAAAGACGTCAGCCCTGAGCACTTACCTACCTCCCATTTTGTACACTCATAAGGAGCGTACGAAATTGCACTATCGAGAAACGTTACAGTATCTGTGACGTTTTTCTTTCAAATATTGTCGAAATATTATGCAGCATGGAACTGGCACTAACAATTCATCTAAGCATAATATTTCATCTGAATAGTAATATTTCTTAAAAGTACTGTTTAGTGTATGGATAATATGATTAATTTTAGACAATCTACTTTTAGGTTCATTTTCTTTGTTATTACTAAAATGAACGAATCGCAAAAATAATTCAAATCGATTTCTTGATATCACTGTACATAGGATCGTCTGGTTATACAAATTAATGTTAGGTAATCGCACTAGTCACATCCATATAATTAGTCCAAAAAACTGTTTCATTTCATTAGGATTTGGTTCAAACCATTTATCTAGACAAGGCGTTCGCTATTCTGCCACTATTTGCGTAGCATATATGTTCGATTGATTTGCGATAATTTAGAATATTTTACTGGTAACAAAAACAAAATAAAAACTATGCGGTTCTGTATAATTAAAAATCTCAGAGTGACGTGTATTGATTCCAGGTAATTTCGAAAATGTGATCTTGACTTGATTGCCCAAAAGATTACGTCAATTTATATCACAATCCTTTTCTTGTATATCATTTTCATTGTTATCGTCATCTTTAACTTCATTTTCACTATCTGACTCAATTTGAAGGCGACGTACTGAGGCTGTCCTTATCATGTCAGATAAGCTATTCGAGGAACTTTTCTCATTAAATGATAGCACTCCGCATCGTTTGGAGGGACTTGGTAAAAATGTATCGTCAAATGAATTACGTGACGCATAATTTTCATTTGAGGTCGTATTAATTTTAAGCACTAACTAAAAAATTAAATAAAATATATGAAATGCAAAAGTTTTTGTAGTGTGCTAAAGTATAATGGACGTTCTTACCTGATTGTCAACGGTTGCTTAACAACTTTAATGAAAAATCTGAGACAACTGATAACCGTAAAAAATAAGAAAATTGCCCGAAATAAAAAAAATGCATTTCAGCGCTACGAGGGTCACCGGTGATTCCCGGTAAAATAAATTTAATCAACATGATTATACACCTCAACTTATCAGTTGTAGATAATATTTCAATATAATATTTATCGTGTAATAAAAAATTCATGTTGGCGCCACAAGCAATCCATTCAAATTTCAGTAGAAACCAAATGATTGTAAAGTGAGCAGGACGTAAGGCACATTGTACAAGAACTGCGCGTGGTGCCCGCGTGCTCTGTAACAGGTCGCCTTCATTTGTTCATAATTTGGTCAATAGCCATCGGAGAAAACAAAAAGACGATACTTTAAGATTTCCCTCGGAAACAGAAGCAAAGTAGTTCGTACTAGTACAAATATCGAGTAGGCGCCAGACGTACCGTTGCGTCGCGAGACAAACGAAATTCCTGAGAAAATTAAGAGGACTCCGGCTAGTAGACAAGGAACGGAAAGATATGGTAGAGGGGCGGGGAACGCACAGATGGTAAAAAAAAAAAGATTGAGAAACTACGAGAAATTCGGTAACAATGATGATTGGCCCTTTATAATGGACTTATGAAACTCAGATTAACAAACAAAATAATAACGGGCGAGAAAACTAATATGAATAATGAATCACGCGAGACGAGATCATACACAGGACACGTGAACAATATACGCTAATATCAGAACTATTACATGCTATACAAGGTTCTCGCGAGACATGTGAAACAAAGACAAGTAAATTAATAAACGATATACAATACTTCTGTGACCTACAGGACTCGAGACTACGAGGCTACGAGGTGCCTTCGCGACATGCATATTCGTTATAATACGGAAACGCGAAGGATGTAACCACTCGTATGGCTCGCGTAACACGCTATACAGACGGAATCAAGTAGCGGATAAAAAATGTAGGTCTAGCGAGTTTCACAAATTAAAATCTCCGCACATAATACCTTATTTCATCCTTTTGTCGCGGAGATGCTTATCTTGAATGATACAATGTCGAAACAAGTACGATACGCTCTGCTTTTTCTAAACATACCGGCCAAAACGGCTGTCAACGCAAGGATGGTGCTCGAGGAGTTATTCTCCTTACCAGTCGAGGTTAACTACCTCACGGTAAGTCTAGTAGGGTCCACTGATCGAATCGTCTACGCAGAAGTCTTCTACCAATCAGGGTTTACGCGCGAAATATACGAAACATGGAAATGGACTAATTCGTTGGTTTTATTAATCATACAGAAACTATTTGAGTACTAGCCAGCGCGGGATGGTTTTTATTAGCGTAGATATTAAGCAGAGTCTCCATATGATCGTTAGACTACGATACTTAGAAGGATGGTCCGCGAAATCTACATTCCCTTAAAGTCTATGCATTATACATTTGCGTAAATCGACTTTTCGCGTGACTCGGATAGGGTAGTTCCCTGAGCTCCCTCTTTGGTATTGATGCCGTTAACTTGGCATCAGTACCGGGACTGATGTGGCGATAGTCTGTCCATGGCGATGTTCTCGTCGAGTCGATTCCCTACTTTATTCAGGGTCTACCGTGGCGGGGTGGAGGTGTGTGCTGGCGGTGACGTTCCACCACGCTTCCTGGCATAGTCGTAGGCAGCTCCCTCCTGGCGAGATTGGAGCAGGATTCTTCTCGATCTTCGGCATAATGATGGCTCAGCGTATATCACGAAATTATTGTGCAGACAGGAATTAGCTTAACCTCGTTAAATTTTACAATTGGGACCTGGGAGTTCTTGGACGGTACAGTTGGGTTTTATCTCCCGAGGGATGTTACTGCGTCCCGTGATCAAGAGCACGCGAGTACCAAATCGGGATTTTTATGGTGTCTAAAATTAATATCACGATAAATATATATGTATTTTAACGTATTTTCTTAAATCGACACCGATAGTTAAAGACCGAGAACTGACCCATGTCACCTTCGGACGTCCACCGGCCGCCCAAGCCTCCGCACGTCAGGCAGGCGGTACAAATTGGAATTTGGGGTAGAACAGCTCCATCTCCGCCAAAACGAGAACTCCGACGGAACTTATCAGAATAGACGGTAGCTTCATGGATTCCGTCGATTTTTAGGAACGCTTAAAATCGAGAAACGCAATCGTAGGCGCTGATCTTTGGGGTCGCGTAAAATCAGCAAATGCAATTGGATGCACGAAGGGAGTGGACGGTTACGGAAATGCACGGCCGCTCAAGTTGTTATGTGGATGTAAAGAGGAATAGAGTAAGCGTCGGGTAAATAGTGCCGGAAATAGAGGGCAAATAGTCGAGAACGTGAGAGAACGAATCGAGAATGTAAAATCGAAATCCCTTCACCAATATTAATAAATTGAGCACAATTTTAATCTATTAAAATATTCCTGAATTAGAAGTTTCATGAAAACATGTGAAATTAGGTGTCGAAAACGAGTTCACACATTTAATTTAAGGGGTCACATACCGTTCTCGGCACCAAAAAGTGGTCAATGTTTGTCGAGTGACTAAAGAAAAACTATTGGACCGATTGGTAAAATATTTTTTGTATTTGAAAGGTACTCGATGAGGAATCACCTAAAGTTTTATTAATTATTAAATGACCATTAAATCATAATCAACTACGGGAAGCAGTAGTCATGTAAAAGAGTTGGGAAAACGTTATAGGAAATTTTGAAAATACAATTAAAATGATGGGCCAGTGCTAGATCATATAATAGACAAACATGTAATGACTTATGTACTTGGCCTCAATAATTTGATATCAATACTTTTTATTAGAGGAATACACAGCACTCCTGTTCTTGGCGTAGTTTTTTACACGTTAGTGTTTTCCTGGGGGTATTAATTTAGTGTAAGAACGAGATCCAGGTGATATGTTCGGTAAAAATAAAGGTTGACAAGCGAACAAAATCTTGATAAAAGACAACGAACGGGTAATCACTGCTAAAGCTCTTATTGTGAGTCGAACGGCTAGCTGTGATTGCTATTTATCGACTTCCAGCAAAACGCTCCATACGTATGGTAAAACGTCTGTCGCCCGTGACATGACGCGAACAGAAATTTACAGGACATTT